TACACCTGCACAAACTAAACACAAAGAAGAATACAACAATACACCTGCACAAACTAAACACAAAGAAGAATACAACACACCTACACAAACTAAACACGAAGAACAATACAACAACATACCTGCACAAACTAAACACAAAGAAGAATACAACAACATACCTGCACAAACTAAACACAAAGAAGAATACAACAACACACCTACACAATCTAAACACAAAGAAGCACGTGGAAACTCACACGACCAACAAGGGACACAAAAAGAAGTACACGAAGATAATCTCAAACAAACACAAGAAACACCAGAAGATCAAAACTATTTCATACTAGTAAAATCGAAGAAAACAAACAGCACAAAACACAAACAATCATACAAATGCAACACACAAAAACACACCACAAAACGCAATTATAATCCAAGGTATCCCAGCACAGTACCGGGAACCATAACTTACGGCTGAAATCAAGCGATGTAAGCCGGAAGTACACATTACAACAATAAAACGTCTAGCCAAGGTCGGCGTCCTGGTCAAAGGATCAGAGGCCGCTGACCTGAACCGACTACTAAAAACATGGCCCCAACATGCGTTTGAACCCGGCAAGATAACAATACACTTACCAGGAAACAAGCCCAACCCTAAGTCTTTCGTCATTAAGGACATACACACTAGCATTACTAACGAAGAAATCCAAACAGAACTCACACAGAAAAACATTTTAGTAACAAAAATATAACGGATTTTCTCAAATAAAACACAGAAACACACAAACCTGATAAAAGTTCAAGTGCGAGAAACACAAGACACACAGAACCTAATATCAAACGGGATTATATTGTGGTACAGAAAATACACGGTAGAACCAACCAAAATACCTGCGGTAGTGGTAACCCAGTGTTACAAATGCCAACGGTATGGACGTGTGACAGCCGCATGTAAAGCTCTCCCACGCTGCGTAGGGTGTGGGGGAGACCACAGAAACAATGAATGCCCGCGTAGTAACCCACAACTATACTGTTGCAACTGCCAACAACAACACACGGCAAACTACAAAGGATGCCAGAAATATAAAATTATTAAAACAAGAATAAACAATATACAAAACAACACACACACACAAGCTCAAAATTATGAACTACACAGTACACAAAGAAAAACACCATTGCTACCTACACAAAACCCTCAACAAAATGGCAATACAAACAAACAGACATTCGCACAAGCATTAAAAACCCACACCCGAACGGAAACAACTACACAAGCACAAGAAGATAAAATCAACACACAAACTAAAGAAACAACAGAACAAATGAAGACACCTATAGTTACACCTCCTAAAACACAGGAATTCATAAACAAAGTAGTAGAGACAATCAAAAACATATTCAAAATAATCGTGGAAAAATATAACAG